CGGATGGGGTATTGAGAGATGGTATTTTTTGGCGCTCATACCGGACGGGGTATGGGGACGGCCTGTTAGTTGAAGATATTGAAAAATAATTCATGAATAGTGGGGACATTCCTATGGACCCCCATAGATACCAGTAGGTTGATAAATGAGAAAGTTGTTGTTCCGACTGATTGAATATGAAATTATGATATTGTTTATATTATTGACTCTGTAGTTCGGTTTTGAAAATCTCGCTACGGTAAGTATGCGGTAAATAATTTTATTTATGATAAATGAATTTTACTTAAATTAAAAGCTCCATTAGTTATTTTTATGATTACTACCAACCTTCATTTCTGTGTCGGTGAGTAGTGTGATATTCTTACTGGGTATCCCGAATTATTGTGTAAGGAATGTAAACCTTAATTTATTATTTCGCTTCCGTATTCAATTCATAATTTATTTCCTTTTAAGTTCATGGGTTGTTACATACGAAAATAATATTCAAGTTTTACTCTATTTTTTTATTTTTGATACAAATATTTATTTAAAAAGTTAATTTAAATCAATATTAGTAATAAATTATATATTTGTCATTTCATTAAAATCAATGCATGTCTTAAAAAAAATATTTTTTCTTAAGAAAACTTTTAACAATTGTTCGAGTAAAAAATTAATAGTGAATAAAATTTAATTAAAAATAATAATAAAAGTAATAAAATAATTAATTTGAGTTTGGATTAAGTAGTAAAATTTTCAAAAAATTAGATTAGATGCTATGATACAACATTATTTCCTTTGTCCCTTACCGCTCTCCATATGAAAGGTATCGTGACTTGGAATCCACTTCTCAGTCGCACAGCTGCATTTCATTTGTGAAAGTTCTTACTCCCAAAATATAGGGAGAAATGAGAGAAACAATTCACTCAAAGAACAGGTCAGTTTAGTTAATTCCCTGTTTCACTTTGAATCTGACCTCCGTGCCTAATTTTCTCTGCATGACCACTATTATCAACCATGTCAAATACTGTTTCATACCCTTGACCTGCTCTACCCTAATGCACATACGACATTTTCAATTTATTCCCAACACTTCTCAATCTTATCAGCACCGCTCAAATTCGTATCAACTGAAGCAAATCAAGACTCTTTTATAGTTTCTTACCTCAAGAATTCATGTGGATTCTCTTTGAAATCTGTTATTTCAGCTTCAAAATACATCAATCTCAAAACCTTTGATAAGTCTAGCTCTATCCCTGCATTCCTCACCAATCATGGCTTCTTAAAAAGCCAAATCATGAACCTCATCAAGAAATGCTCAGCAATATTAACTTACAATTCTGATAATCTTTTATTTAATTTCTTCAATCCAAAGGCTTTTTAGTTATTGATATTGCGCATATTTTTACATCTAACCCTACTCTCTTTCGTGGAAAGTTAAAGGATCAAATAGTCTCTCATTTTGATTTGATTATAGATTTGTTTCACTCTACCGAG